CTTGCAATCTTTAGCACTAGCCACTTCTCCTTCCCAGTTCTGACGGTGTATTCATCGTTCATCGAGACATGTATTAGGTGGAGAGAAATTTTGGGAATTTCCTTCCCGATTCTTGATCCATCATTCGGCATTGAAACTTTTGTATACAAATTCAAAAACCCATCGCGCGTCCGAGCAAAATAACATAGCTCTATCCAGATATGCAGAGCAGAGGTCTCTCCAGTCATATCACAAGAAAAACTAGCCACCAGGATCGCCAATCATTTTCGTTCTGAACCTCTATAGTTACCTGCGAGTGGAAGAAGAACTGAAATATCTCGCATTGGCTGGTCTGTGTGTTCCCATCAAGCAAGGGCCGAGGAAAACATAAATAGGAATGTCATGGCTCTATCCCCCCGTCATACCAGCATTGATACCAATAGATTGGTATGATTATGCTGGAGTATATAGTGTATGGAGCTGAGGGCGATGAGGGGTATAGTCATAGCCTATTCTGATATGCTGGAACGAGGGGTGATTGCCAGGAACCGTTCACAACCTCGAGGCTCAGTACTCAGTAACGTAAATGTCAGGGTTCCCCAAGTTGCTGGGAGACTCCATTTGGAGCTTGCCACGTCAGTGGGATTTATTTTTCAGTCAGGGGTCAGTTCATCAGTAGTTAATCCAGAATAAATGGTGCAATTCGTCGGTAATTAGCGGGTAAGTTGGTGAGAGAGAGGGGTGTGATGTTTTGGGGCAAGTAGCTTGCTAGCTCTGCGCTGAGATTATTGGGTAAGAGGGGTTCTGCCTGCATGCAAAAAATGTCCGGTGAATGTTTGATATTTCTGGTATTTATGGAGATAGTGAATCTGGCCGTGAGGAGAGGGCGGAAAGCAGTGTCGTGATGGATATCTTTAAGCAATGACACTCAATGATATCATAGACTGTATATTGCTAGTTGTGTTTATTGCTAGTTGATTAGCTATTAGGATTTCGGCCTTCAAGCATTCTTGGTGGCTTCTCTTAAATTCAGCACGGATTTACACGGAGCGGGTCCTCCTCACATTCTGCCCGTGCCAACGGTAAGCCTTTTATCATGCTCTTCCCCTGACCAAAGGTATGGTCACCGGAAAACATACACCAAATGGGGCAAATTATGTCTCATAGGAATACAAAGTAGTGAAGTGTGGGAAAATGAATTTAAGAGAGCTGGCTCTCGGTCAAGATCTCACTCTCAGAGCTGCGCACTGATTGGCGGAGAATGAATCTTGCTATAAGATCCCGCTAGTCTTGATTCAGACTAGCGATATCCCCGCGGCCAGCTTAATTAAGCCTTGTCTGCGGCTCAACTGGGAGTTAAAGCATCCAACTTCTCTCAGCAGGACCGGGTTAAGTGCCAACACGATCAGCCAAACAGCAAAAGCCACTCGGAGATAATATCAAGAACTTGTTGCCATCTATGCACAGCTATGCGAAGGAGGAGCACGACGTCCGACCGTAAAATTTCCTTCTCTCTTTTTTTTTTTGTATGTTCCGACACCAGGCAGGAGCGTCATCTGTGGGACGAAATCTCAATCCAGGAAGTAGGCAAGCATTCAACTAGGCAACCAGATAGTGATACTCGCGTAGGAAACAATGTAGAGATTTTAATTTGTTCATCTGTTGACCAATCAATCATTTTCATCATACAGCTTCCTGTTTTTCGAGCCTCTTAGTTGAAAATGAGGGACCTACGGAAGGGAAATAGCTGAAAAGATTAAAGGTCCCTCGTGATCACTTTAACAATAATCCGAAGGGTTTGACAACTAGGGTTAGATGACAGATCCCAGGAAGTAAATAAGGAAAAAGGGAGAGGATACGTCACGAAGCGCAACGATAACTTTCTTTCCATTCTATACTTTCAAAGATCCGGCTCTTAAAATAAATAATCAAAACAAGTAACCTGTGCTATGCGCGTCATTGCTAGAGATAGCTAGCAGCAAACAAACAGATTTTGTATAGAAACTGGATTGACACCGTAAAACCAAGGTGGATGATGGATGCTCAATTGACATACATTACCGCAAAGCAAGCCCGCAAGCACGCAAGCAAACACGAGCAAGAATCCGCGTTCCGACACAACGATATCTTGTGTATAAATGTTTATATATATATGTATATATATTGCACTCAAAGGCAGACCACAGCAAGGCGAGAATATGTATGTAACCTGGAAAAAAGTGCTCGAAGGGAGTACCTTGGGAAACACTATGATAGTTCGAGCAAATTCTTGTCCAAGATGTTTCACGTCAAATGCGATCGTTCGGCTTTTTGTTTTTGTTATTGCTATTATATTTTGTTCATACTCTCCCGTGGCATGACTTTGAACTAGAGGTATTTGATCTGAAATGATCATCCGTGGCGGCGGGTTTGAGAATTTAATGGTCCTTAGCGATGTTGGAGATTTTCATGGAGAAACAGTCGTTATACTCTTGGGGTGACCAGTTTCATATCCGAATATGACCGACCAAGTAATTTATGCTTAAATATTACCTACCACAACACAATTGACCGAGTAGTCAGCGGGTGAATTGAATATCCATTTACCTGAAGAGTATTGGCAATTAATAGACGAATGTATATATATGTATTTTATGTATCAAGATACATGTAAGTAGCCTAGACGGAGGAATTTGTTGAGGAGGTTAGGAGCATACGACCTGCCGTTAAGCGGCTTATGACCACAGACGGAAAATTTTGAAGGAAAATATAAAACCCCGCCATCAGGGGCAACGGAGGCAACGGGATAGAAGCGATGGAAGCGGATCATGAGGTAAGAATTTACTCCTTTCCGTTCACGTTGTCTTAAACAGCTTGAAGGTTTTTCGATCTGAGAGTTCAACCGAACCATGGGGAAGTTCAAGGCACAGAAACGTTCCTATAATAACCATGTATTGGAATGAAACAAACTGATTGCCGCTGCAAGGTAGTACTTGTTATGTATGTACCGAATCAGAAACTACATTCCGTTATATACTGTATAGTTACGTATCCAACAGAGCCTAGCTTCCATGGATCAAATCGTAAAGAAGATTGAGTATAAGCAGAGAACGAAGGAATTTACACCATTATTATTGATTTCTCAGAACCTCCCTTTCACCCCCATTCATTTTTTATCCATAACTCAACTCCATTGCCATACATGGAAAGTCGTTGTAGTCATCGTCATAGCCGTTTTCCTGATAATTTCATGGCTATGACCCACACTTGATCATCAAATTGAAGACAACCAGCAAAGAAATGAAAAGGGGTATTGAACATAATCCATGACGTAATTTAGTTTTTAGTGGTAACTAAAAATAAGCGCGAGGAATATTAAATCTTTCCTGCGTGCCGGAGCCAATCGTCGTGTGCCATTGTCGATGAAATGTAGACAGACAGTTTTGATTACGCCGCGACCAGCTGCTCAATGTTTTTCATTCTTTTTCTTCATATATATATTTTGCATTTATAATTTGCATTTCGAAACATCTAAGCAGTTTTGGTTGCTGCCACGTTTCTCAATGCCTTGTGAAGTTAATGTTGTGACATTCAGCTGCTGTTATCATAAGAGGATGATGAATTTCATTCCCTCGAATTCTGCTTCATCGTTATATTATTAAGGATAATTGATGCTCACTCCCGGGCCGGCCCACTTGACATCTGCTGAATCAATTAGTTTGCTTCGCTCCACACAAGGAGTTGCATTTAGCATATTGCACATGGAGGAGCTCATTTGGGAGACCGCCCACTTTTATGCCCTTGTCATTAATGCTGCGGGGCTCAGTTTGAGAAGCATCTATGGTTCTTTCTTGGATTTTCTAGAAGGGGATTGTTTGGCCGTGGTTACGTACAACATACAATGCAGAAGGGATCTTATTTCTAGTTTATTTGCTCCCTTTCTTACCAAACAAATAAAATCCATTCCTAACATAATAAAATACACGAAACTGGAGCACAGACCATAAATGTATATTCAAATGAAAAGAATCCTAGCAATAATCAGCAACCAGTGACCTGGCTTACCATACTTGTGCCGTTAAGGGATAAAAATTAGGCACAGTATGTATCATGAAAGAAACAAATGTACATATACAGTACGTACTGTACATAGTTACAGACCAACCAAGGAACGCATATTCATCAAAGCGAAGAAGAAACTGCAAAGACTGAAAGCCAGCATTCAAGCTGTTTCCGGAAGGCATGCTAAATATACATGCACATTGTCCTGGCTTCAAATCATTAATCCAGATCCAAAAGCAACAGGAACCAGGGATCAACCAAAGAGTCAATGAGCAAGAATGATGGCGCTGGGTGCCGGTTTCAGGGCTCTTCATCGAGACCTTGGTACCGAATAAGCCTTCAAACGTACCGGATTTTCAAAGCTGTATAGTAATCGTATTACTGTATGAAAAGGGGAGTTTTGGTTGGAGGGACAACCGTCCTCTGCCAGACGAACGATTGAAGTAACTATGTAGTTAAAACTACTTCATAACTAACTTGTTAACTTCCATCCCCGAGAAAAGCTTAGCTAAAGCCTGTGCAAGGCTTCCCCTCGTTTAACATTCCTGGGCGAAGTTACACACAATCACCTTGGATCTTTAAAGAGCTACTATTAAGTTGTCAAGGAAACTGTAGTAGCTTAGATCAAAAGGGATGAATTGAGAATCCCCCTTTCTTCATTGGTAATTGCTATATATATGGTCACAGAAGATTTTAAACTGATCATGAAATGATAGATCTTAGAAGCATCTCTTGGGTTGTATCTTACATGATATTCCAGAAAGGCTGAAATATATGTATTACATCGAAAGCATTCTCCAGATAAGCAGCGCAGAATCGCCATGTTTTAACTCCCTGCTTCAGTCTGCAAGAACGACGTTTTGTAACTTGCTTGCCTGTGTAAGTGGAACAGAACGGGAAATGAATTAATAAGTTAAAATAAACATAAATCTCTCTTGAAATATGCAGGCGAATTCTCATGTTGATTTATTTGAACGTATTCACTGAAATAGGAGAAAGCCTTGACTTTGTGACTGTATGTATTGTATATTTTTTGTACTGTACAATACAGACAATATATACACGTACAATATCTTTGCATATAACTTTATCTGAAGCCAAGCTATACTTAAGCGCAACAACATCCTCAAGCCTTCCCTTGGACATGCATTTCGCGCTTCCCTGTTCAGTCGCCTTCACCGGCTCCTGATTTGCTACCAAGGCTAAGCAGCCAGACACACTCCCCATTGACGCAATGAACATCGTGGGAGTGGGATTCCTCTTTCGCACTTTTGTGCCCACGCCTTTTTAATCCCACGTAATTCTGTTCTGAGTGGCAGCACTATAGTTAGTAGTCTGCTGCTTCTCACATCTACGGGCGGGAAAAAGAAGAACAATAAGGATAGAGCATACGAATTAACGTTTCTTGTTAAATTGGATGAAATCATATGTTAGGCGGATTTTGAAGATTCACTCTCTGGGCCCTTGAAGATTTTAAACCCTGTCCCGTGGACCGTGGTTCATGTGGAGGGGTTATTTCTAGCCTCCTGAGTTGAGCCTCAATCGATCAATGAATGGACGCTTCTCTTGGAACTTTGAGTTTTGTCCCTCATGTGAATACCGACTAAATGAATGGTGTTCCTCACTCTCTTGATGTTGGAGGGACGGCGTTTCAGACTTCTTTTAGTAAAAGATAAGATGCGTTATTGCCCTACTGTATGTATCATCATGTAACTAACACCGGTGGCAACGCAGGTGCAAGAAGGAAAGCTCAGTTTTTCCCGAAATTAAGGTTATTGGCCGTACCAACCAGAATATACCTTGCCTCTCAAGGGTTCCCCATGGGACTGGGGGAAAAAATCTTTCTGCTACTTCCTCCTATGCTTCCCTTTGGCTCGGAATGATGGGTGTGATCCATTGTTGTTGGGGACGGGTGGGCCGAAGAGAAGCGGATGCCCACAGTCGTCATGGCTCTAGAGCTTTCGTTTGGGACTGGTCGTAAAAGTTGATTAGTGGTTGACATTTGTTAATTATTCTCGATCCATTTCGTAAATTCATTCCATGGATTTACGAGGGATAACTAGTGGTTATGGATGAGGGTTTTTTCAGGTGCTTGTAAACATTTCATTATTTCATATACGTACGGGGTGAATAGGAAGTTGGTTACATACATGCACTTTGCTTTATCTACTGGGAAACCGTATCAGCAGCCGGATGTCTGTTTGAGAGGACGGGACATGATAACTACCCAGTCACATACTGAAGAAGAGGACAGCCCTATGGATCTCAACCAACGACATTTAAAGACTCGACCAGAGTTCTCAAAACTTCGAATACTGTGTGGTATGGTTAAACCAACCAAAAGCCCCACAAAACTTCAAGCCGGGCGGCATGCGACGATCTGACACACTGTGACAAGCTTGCGAGGGTATTATTTCGATAGAGCATCGTGATAACAGATGACAACAGAATGGTTTCAGGGAACTGTTTCTACATGCTGACGAATAAAGTAATTCCCATTCATTTTTGAATTTGTTCGTTCACTCCGGTTTCGTGACACACGCGAGATTTAATCACGATAACCCAGAGAAAAGCACATATTACATTGAATTAATTAATTCCCTATGTTTCATTCTCTTTTTCAATGAGTGTACAGTACCATATGCGGTGTGCCATGTTGCGTCATTTATTTAATGCCTGTCATGTCCACTCCAAACCTAGCAGCATCCCGAATATTAAAACCGTAGTAAGTGTAAAATAAAAGATAGCTGAATAGAAAAATATGCATTCTCTCAGGCCACGCGTTTGGCCCTTCTGTTTCAAGGCTGCATGAGTCCACTGCTGATGAGTGGGATGTATTGTTTTCTGACCGACTAACTCAATTATCAAAAGGACTTGCACTGTTTCAGGCTCGAAGCTTTCTCCTAGATTATTCTCTATGTTTGCGTAAGAGCTAAGAGTGACCTTAGAAGCTAGTTGAAATATACGCAGCAGTTCTGCTTCTCTTATATCAGAAATAGTTCCGGTCTCCTGGCTCTAGGAGCTCTCCAGGGCTGCCTGTCTCACCCTCCCCATGCTGTCCGGAGCACGAGGCGCTGGCATGTTTCAACGTATTTCTAACACTTTGAAATCTTTTGTAGTAGTTATCAGGGCTAACATATAAATGTCGTCGTATGCTGGGAAATAAGGCAAATGAGCCTAAATATTCAGATTGACTGCACATGCCAGTAATCTTGTTGTAAAACCTATTCAACTTACTTTCTCTTTCAATTCCCATCACTTGCTATATGCAGAGTACTTAACGCGTCCTATCAGTACAAGGTTGTGCGTTGCTCAGCGTCAATACGAGAAAACCCCCGGACGTGTCTTTGTTAAAACGTTTCCCCCCGTCTCTTCAAACATTGCTAAGAAGTCGGAACGCCTTGTCCTGTACAGGATATAGTCCGTTACGGTTTGGTGATTATACGACCTGGGATGTTTCTTGCAATGCCACGTTCCGTATGAGACAAAGAGTTACTTTATAGGCCTCCACATCCTAAATACTATTCAGGCTGTGAGAGTCTGGGATGGGTACGGCAAAGGGAGGCTATATCAAACACACAATTATGCCATGCTTCGCTGGGTAATTCCATGTCAGGTACCAAATTCAATTGCTTGTCCCTTGTATTTGGCATCCAGGGTAGAGTTGCTTGTTGCTTCAGGAGTTCAAGCGATAATGAAGCTATAGCCCTCTGTCCTTATTTGTAAAGGTCCACTAAAAACAATTGTCTGGACTTAACCGTGGAGAAAGGTGTGTTTGGATACACTTAATCCTTAATCGGAGTTCCTCACACGTCATTGCAGACCATGGGGCTCTTTTTGAACACTGTGCGGGTTGAAAATGCCCACCATCAGCCCCTTTATGTCTGCGTTCAGTCCAAATCATGGTTAGAATTAGATAGACGAGCATAACCAAAAGCTGATTCCAAAGTTTTGTCCTGGCTAGTGTTGTTTGTTGCAGGGAGATGCTACTCAGTAGTTAACTCGAAACGTCGGCATCGTTCACACGATGGATGGAACTGTCAGGAACCCTGTTTCAGTCAGACTCGCCGCTCAGTTCAAGGTCTCGGACCCAAGTCGTTTTGGCAGCTTGGCAGCTGAAATTGTTGCGTTTCGGCGGGAGAGTTCCTCGCCTACAGATCTGATGAGGGTTATGGTCGGGATGGGAATGGAATGAAACGAACCACCGACAAACCACGTCAGGAGGAAGTGGAGTGGCAAAAGGAGATGTACTGCAGAAGACTGGAGTGTGGATTTAATTAAATCGGTAAATATATACACCTCATGTAGTTTGCTTCTCCTCCAAAAGCCATCGAGGCGCTGAGATGATCGCTGGGTACTTTCTACAGCTCTATCCAATTCATTCAAAAGCGGTTGATGACAGTGATGCGATGCAATGCATTGCAAGCTAAGGGAAAGCAATGGATATTAATAACATTGGAATGTACTCCGTATAGCTTTATATGTTGCTTTGAGCGTTGTTATTTAATGGGGGTTTTCTATGATGATTGAGCAAGGGACAGCAGATCCAAGAGGCAAGGTTAGTTGTTAACACTTAAGTTTATCCTTTGCTTGACCGCTGCATCGGGGCAAAGTGTTTGTTCTGTTCATTTCCTTCTTTCATCATTTCTATTTTCTTTCAGTCCTTCAGAAGGATGGTGTGTTCTCTGGAAGAGAGAGGGATTTTGAGGGGAGATACCTAGTACGTCGCAATAATAGCCCTGAATAGAAGTTTTAGCTGATATATTACCTATGTTCTGTCGATTGTGTTCTAGTGTAGTAACCTATTACAGATGATCTTGCTTGTATGTACGGAGTAATTTAAAAAACATATCGATTCATCTGTATATCTCCTTCTTCGTATCAATAATCAGCGCTCTCACCAAAAACTTACAGGACAGAGAGAAAGGGGGAAACATCCTGGTTGTTTGCCGGATATAAACCGGGAAAGGTCTTTTTGAGCTTGTCAGGAGGATATTTTCTTTCCCTTTCTAGCATCCAAGGGGAAAAAGTCAAAAGTCCTCAGGAGGGAAAGAAAAGCAGGAATTCCGGTTTTGCATCAATGGCGATGAGGTGCATAGGTTCGGGAGTGCCTTGGGTGGTTTACCTTAGGGTCGCTAAGGAGATGAGTGAAATGAGAACTGGCCTGGGCTCCTGAATTTGGTGGATCTCATAGAGAGGTTTAACTAAATTATTATTAAATTGAGGCACGGGGCCTGGAGAAACCCATCCATAAATTATATATAATTCACGAAAATTTGCTTCCATCTCATTCACGCGTCATTAGATTGACTTTTTAGATATTACATTTTCCTTTGTTTTGTTTGAAGAATCGAGAGGTTATCATTTTCATCGAAGCGAGGCGCGTTTGAACGCGATGAAACTTCTCGTGACAAGTGATTATTACCTCGGGGCCTAGAGATCCATGGATGTACGGTATCTATAGTTATCGATTTATTAATAGTAGAACTGATGAAACTGGGTATTACAGGAGAAGTAGGTCGTTACTGGAGCAGTTCGAAGTCAACGGTCAGCAAGATACAGAAAAGTGGAGGATTGAACCAAGCCAGGAACCAGCCAGTAGTAATGAATGGGGTAACGTACATACAGTACATTAGTTAGTTATTTGCAGTTGAGTAATTCAATGCCATGGCTGGAATCAAGATTAGTTGGTAGAAGTGGGTTGGGAAGTAGACCTTTACCTTAAGGACCTGAAAGACCCAGGCTGGTGACCAACCAGACTGGCCAGATACGGCAACTGGGAAGAATAACGGATACCATAACATTATTACGCGTTGTACATACATACATACGTACGTAAATACATACGTAAATACACACACGAGTACGCCCCCCGACTGCCGGCCAATCACACCAAACAGGCCGCGTCCAACAAGTCCAACTGAGCTTCCAGCTGAGGCTCTAACTAGAAGTGCGCTATCACCGATCAGGCTAGGGCCAGCTTCCAGGTTGTCAGGAACTTGGGTGGTCTTCAAACCTCACCTTCTCCGTCACTCGCCGTCTCGCATCCATCTCCAACCCAAGCATCTCTCTCTCCTTCTCTCTCCCTCTTTTCTTTTCTTCCTCTCCCTCCCCTCTCCTCCCCTTTTCTCCTCTCTTCTCCCTCCCGTGTCCAACCTCCTCTCTTTTTTCCTCTCTTCTCTCTTCTCTCTTCTCTCTTCTCTCTTCTCTCTTCTCTCTTCTCTCTTCTCTCTCCCCTGTCA